AAGAGAAACATTTAAAAACACTACCATATATAATAGCGATGCTTCCCTTTCGTTCTGAAATTATACTTTTTATAAAATAAGAGCCGTAGCTAATACTTGCTAGTAACTGAGGTCTGTAAGTTTGATTAGAATACACTGGTAGGCCTTTTAAGCTGGCTCAGACACCAAATTCCACTCATACCTAGAAAGGGAACAAAGTGCCTTCTTAAATCTTCATGAAAACTTTGTTCTCAGGATTCAAAAGCCTGAAATTCCTAAGGTTTTCCCGGATGGCGGGCTGGCGAAGCTTCCGTTACCACTAACACGGGAACCAAGCCCAACGCTTCTGCGTTGGTTAGGCCGCCATGAGCCGAATGAGCGGTGCGAGCGCCTTCTCCTCTCAGCTCATCGTCGTCCTCAACAAAAAGTCACCCTCTGGCGGTGGCGCTGGCCATGTCGGGGGTCAGTCAGCCCCAGGCCCACATGTGTAGGGAGGAAATTGGGGGTTTCCTCAAACATAGTCCGGCTGGGGAGCCCTTGGGCAGGGGTGCTGCTGGGGGGCAGGGGAGAAGCGGGGCAAGGAGGCCGGAAGGGAGGACCTGGCACGTGGCACCCCTCTTTTTCCCTGGAGGAGAAAGCGGCAGGCAGCTGCGGGAAAGCCAGGCTTGGCGGGAGAGGAGGTTGGGGGGCCAGAGGGCCAGAGAGGGGGGAAGCCACGTGAACAGGCGTTTGTCACCTACCCAGCTAAATCTGCTCAGGGACAATCCTCGCCCCTGGATAAGGAAAAGAAAGAAAGAAGGACATTGTGATCAGTGCAGAAAACAGTTCTTGTAATAAAGAAGAAACAGCCCAAACAGTCTATGCCGAGGCGGTAGGTGAGTTTCGTCACACGAGCCCTTTCCAAGGGGTGGCGGTGGCCACCGCGCTCCTGGCGCAGATTTCCCATCGGGCTTTAGAGGGAAGGCACGCGGGGGTCCATGAGCTCTGCCTGCAGCCGTGGCGGGGGGGGGGCGCCCTGCACCTCTTGGCCTGTCCACTTGGGGTCCACGTGATAAAACACTGTGGGACCAAGTCAGGTAGCCGAGAGTGCACCCCTCTTTTTGGTACATCTCAGGTCTATAAATAAAGTGATGATTAATCCAGACATTCGGAGGTCTTACCTTTCCTTGCGACGGAGGAGGTGTGCGAGGTGTCACCTGCAAAGACACAGGACGGTGAGCGGTGGGGGGGTCTCCCTCCATCAGAGCAGCCCTGCCCCTCCCTCTTCATGAAGGTCCTGGCTGCTGCCAGGCAGCTCAGTTGTGCCGAGAGCGTCGAGTGCCTACCAGGCGTCGGGACTGCCCACGCCCCTGGCTCCCATCTGTACCCCCGCCCACTGAGAAACGTAGGCCCTGGGGATCCGAACACAGCCATTTCTACTCAGATCTTCCAGAACACTCCGAAAATGTTTGCGAAACTCATCAAAAGGCTCTACAGCTAGGGAACCAATCCCTCTTGGTGTGTGTCCTTGTGAAAACACCCGTTGCACGCTGGAGGAGCCCGTGAACTTCACCTCACCGTGGCCCTTTTCTCGGGTGGGAAGTAAAGTGTCCCCTGATAGGCCGAGCTTCAAAACAATGCCCTCAGGTCTGTGGTTCCTAAAAGTCACTTGTCAACGTGGAAACTATCGTCTTACAATGTCAGCTGAACAGAAAGTGTATTACGAGAAGCCTGCGGTTTGGCTTTTGTTTTGAAGACCTTCGCAGCACCTTATTGTTAGCGCAAGTCCACAGCTGCCATTATGCGTCACTCTCTGTCATAAGTCTAAGGATTTTGACAAAGGTATGAGGTGTATCCACCACCACTATATCCCACAGAGGACTTCTGCTGCCCTCAATGTCCTGTGCCCCCCGTTCACCCCCTGATCTTTTCACTGTCTCCATAGTTTGCAAAGCTTCTGGTTTTAAACTGAACTCTCCTAGTAGTTTAGTCTCAAAGGAGTGAGTTCTTTGGCAGAACACAGAGTTCAGTAAGCGACAGGCATAGTTGGGACCTTGGGACCAGGTGCTAAGTCTGAGTTCCCGAGACCAACCCCAACTTGGGGAGGCGGGGGTGTCATCTGGGGAAGTCCCTAACGGGTTAGGGCTCAGAGTCCCCTGGGATTCACTCATGCCCCTCGTGACCGTAGCAGTGGCCAACCCTTCCCCAGCCCGTCGCTCACAGCGTGAGGACCACTCACAATGTTCTTGAAGAAGTGGACTACAGGGTTCTCGTCCTGCGGCCGGCCATGCTGGGACTTCTGGGGCAGGGAGCCGTAGTGGGTGGTTCTTGCCGCATGGTGTGCATCCTGAAAGACAGGTGTAGAGGCCTCAGGATAGGCTGCCCCCCATCCTGGGGCACTGCCTCTCCACCCCATGTGCATCGGATCTCTTTGAATCAGGCCTGATGCCAGGCAGTGCCGTTTCCCGGACTGCTGATTTAGATGAAGGAAAATGCCCAGGGATCACACAAAACAGCCATAGCTGCAGAGGCAGGCCCGCCGGCAGCTTTGGGGGCGCTCAGGTCACAGTGACACAGTCTGCCCAGGTTGGGACGGCCACTTCCGCATCCTGAGCACAGAGGGAAGGACTGTTGGGCTGAGTGCCCACGGCCCGTCCAGGACCAACAGACCCAGAACCGTCCAGGTCAGCACATGGCACGTGGAAGACGGCAAATGAGGGAGAGCAACCCTCGTAGCAAAAACTGACCTCTGAGGGCAGGCAGGGAAGTGCTGTCCTCGCAGCCTCCACGTGTCCCTCCTTGGCTGGCCACTGACTGCATGTGCCACCAGCAGGGGACACAAGGACACCAGGGAAGCGAAGCACGAGGGGACAGAGCTGACCCGCTTCCGTGGAGAAGGGGCTCCATCCTTGGCCCTGACCAGGGCCTGCGTGGGACACGGGAGGGGCCCGGAACTGCCTTGGGGGTGTCCTCCCTGCTGTGTCACTGCTGTTTCTCGTTGCAAAAATGCGTCATGACTTTTCCGACAACCCAATAGTACACTGTCCTTGGTGTTTACGAACCATTTTTCTGCGAGCCATGTACTGCTTCTGAGTCCTAGAAGCACCACATACCTTTAACTCACCCATCTTGTGGTTCAACGAAAAAAATGTGTTAAACTTTACAAGGTGGTTTGGGAAGAAATGAATGTTTAGTCATATCACACAGGTCTCCCGTCATGAGAACTTATTTATGTTGTGAGATATTAATGAAGTGTTATGTAGATAATAATAAGTTTCACTTGTGAATTATGCATGCCTGCTTTGAACGCTAAGAAAAACCATATATATTTTTTGTGATGTTTATAACGAATGTGTCAGTCACCAATCTTCTGAGGGAAAAGGAATCTAAGTCTTTTAAGCAATACATGAAGTTGGTAGGTTGCATTTTAGCTCTTGAAGCTACCGCATCAGGGGCCAGAACTGTTCACGCCAAGCTGACTGGCCTCTCCACGGCGTTCAGTGCAGAATTAAGCATGAAACGAGCATGGACGTTGTCGGGTTCACGAGTAGTCATTTAGATCACTGTTAACACAGAGCCTAACGCATGGATCTTAGGTAAATAGAACAATTATTACAGAGTCACGCGATTGTTTTGTTGGGGTGCAACGAAATAGGACTGAAACGGACTTTGACGTGAACTTTTTGGGCTATAAATTATCAGTGGCACAGATAATTGGATGTTGTCACATAGTTATAACTGTTCTGTTATAGTATAGTTGAAATGGTCTGTTACTTAAAGGACATTGAGTCAATCACATTTCTATGCACTAAAATGAACAGTTAAAAAGAGAAACATTTAAAAACACTACCATATATAATAGCATCAAAGCAACAAAGTATGAGCTGTAAATATAACAAAACAGGGGTGGAGTCTCTATGCTAAAAAACGCTGGTGGAAGAATTCAAGTGGAGAGACGTACGGAATTCATGGGCGGAAGAGTCAGCAGAGTGAAAGTGCCAGTTCTCCCCAAACTGATCGACAGACTTAATGCTGCTCCAATCGAAATGCCAGCAAGCTTTTGTTTAGATACAAAGTGATTCTACAACCATAGAGAAACGCAAAGGAATCAAAATAGGCCAATGACTGTGAAAAAGAAGGATAAATGAAGGAATTCCATCAGCTGATGTTACAGTTTCCTGCACAGTTATAGTGATGAAACCATGCGGCATCGAGGGAGGGAAGCAGCGAGTCCAGAAACAGGCCCACGCAAGTGCGACCAACTGGCCTTTGATGAAGGTGCAAAGACAATTCAGCGGAGAAAGGGTCGGCTTTCCCACAGATGGTACTGAAACAATTGGACATTCCTTTCCAGAAAAATGGACCGCAACCCCAAAGTCACACCTCGTACAAAAATTGACTCAAAATAGATCACAGATTTCTAGCCACAATGTAAAACTATACAATTTTAGAAGAAAAGTTAGGAGGGCACCTTCATGACCTGAGGCCTGACACCAAAAACATGACCCACAAAAGAAAAAATTGGTAAATTGGACTTCATCAGAATTTAAAGTTTGTTTTGCAAAGGACACTGTTCAGAGAATAAAAGGACAAGCTACAGAATGAGAGAAAATATTTGCAAATCACATATATGACAAAGGACTTGAAGCCAGAATAAGTAAAGAACTCTCAAAGCTCAATGGGTAGGAAAAAAAAAAAGCCCAGTGAAGAAATGGACAAAACACTTGAATAAACGCTTCATCAAAGAGAATGGGCAAGTAAGCACATGAAGTGGTGCTCAGCATCCTGAGCCATCAGGAAGACAGAGAATGGGACAGTCAGTCTGAGACACAGTTAGGCGTTTCTCATAAAGTTGGTTAGATATTCACCATAGGACCCAGCAACCCTACTTCCTGCTTTTAATGATAGAAGAAAAGTCACATACTTTGGCAAGTGGCTTTTATAACAAATATCTTAGCAATTTTTTGAGGGAAAAGTAATTTAAATTTTAAGTGAAAACTTAGGCTTATCAGAGAACATGTGCATGAGTGTTTATCGCATTCCACGCAGGGGGATGCTACTCACTCAGCAATAAAAAGGAACAAACTTGATGCGTCAACAACTTAGTGGCATCTCCACGGCCTTGACTGAGGGACAGAAGGCTTTCTAGAAGGGTTTCATTGGAGCCGCCTCATTTACATGCCATTCCCCAAATGATTAAGCCATAGTGAGGGGACCAAAGTGGTGGTTGCCAGGGGTGGCGAGAGGGAGGGCTTGGGGGAGGAGTCCTTATTGTGGCAGCTGCTACAAGAACCTATACATGTATTCAAACTCACCGAACTGTACAGCAAAAACAAGCCAACGTTACTGTGTGTTAATGTATTAAAATACAGTAAAATAAAAAGGCCATTTCACATAGTCCAGCGTTGTGCAGGCAGTGACATCTTTGCACGAGTTTCCTACCTGGACACCTCTGCATAGGTAAGGCTGGTCTCCCTCTAAACGCATGCCTGTCATTCGCATCTCGGACACCCAACCCTGTGTGACGTGAGCTAGCCACTCTGTGTGCTGGGGCTCCTGTCTCCTCATGTGTGAAAGGACGTGGCTGAAACAGACTTGCTGAGAAAGTCTCAGCTCTACAATGTTGCTAAGGGGCCACCTGTGAGTAGCAGCCAAGAAAAGAAGGTATCGGTCCAGTGTGGTTATAACTCAGGTCGTTTCCTAGGACGCTGGGCCTGGGGTTTGAGCTGTTTGTTTACTTGTCACTGAAGAGCTTTCGTGGGGGGCATGGGAGGAAAAGCCACGCCTCACGCCTCGGCGGCCAGGGCGAGACACCCTCCCACAGTGGCAGGAGGGGCTGCTGTGTCTGGGTCACCCTGAGACGTTTCTTACTGTGGCAAACACAAGCACATACAAGTTACTATGTTCACCGTTTCTAAGGACACAGTGAAGCGGCATTTGGTAGTCACAGGGTCGTGCCACCGTCACCACCGGCCGTCTCCAGGACTCTGTCATCTTCCCAAATGACACTCTGTCCCCATTAAACAATAGCTCCCTGTCCCCCAGCCCTGGCACTGTCTACTTTCTGTGTCTATGACTGACTCCTCCAGGGACCTCCCATAAGTGGAGTCACACAGGGTATGTCCTCCTGTGCCTGGTTTCCTTCACTCAGCATCATACGTGGTACGTGTGTCAGGACGCCCTTCCTCTAAGGCTGGCTCGTGCTCCATTGTGCATTCAGTACATTTGCATGTCACTCGTCTGTTGATGGACAGTGGGTTGTTTCCACCATTGGCTACTGTGCCGTCACCTGGTCCGGCCCAGCCCAGCCCCTGCTGATCTGATCCAATCTGGCCATGTTTCCGCAGCCACTGACACCTGGCAGAGGAGTGCCGAGACCCCCTCTCTCCTTCCCCCAACAGCCCAGACTGAAACTGGCTGGCAGTGAGACTTTGAACAGATGCCGGTGCCCACCATGGCACTGGTGCCACTGTGAAGGCCCAGCTGCACTGAGATGAGAGGTCCACACACAACTCAGGGGTTGGGGGAGCCCTCTTCTCGGACGATGGCCGGTCAGTCCATCACGTGTCTGGGCTGGATGGTCAGCTCATGGTCAGAGCAGGGCCAGCCTGTGCCCAGGTAGTGGAGGAGCCCTGGGCAGCCCTGGCGAGGTACTTTATAAATGGTGAGTTTGGGCTTATTTGTTGTATGTTATGATTTATGGGGATTGGGTGTCATTTCCTCATGCCTCACTGTAAACCAGGTGACCCGTTTCCTGGGCTGGGGGGGGGGCGCTGTACCTGGAGGAGGAGAAAAGATGGAAGACAGGGGAGGTTCCGGGGCGCAGGTGACCTCGAGGGCCTCGCAGTCCTGCTGGGTCAGCCCCCGTGGGAAGGCACGGGGGTGCGAGCGAAGGGCGGCCGGGGGGTGTCCTGCTAAACCCTCGGGCCTCGGGCCACTCACTGGACTCGGCGGCCTCGCTTCGGTCCCTCCACATCCTCAGCTGCTGGCCGCTTCAGAAATGCTTGTGACACACAAGGTCCCTTACGGAGGCCACTGAACTCAGGCTCCCTAATGAGGGAGGGCTTTTGTGGCTTAGTTAGTTTTAAACACACATGTTTGGCAATTCTCTGATGAAGCACTTTTTAACTGTGTTCTCTGAGGTTTAAAAAAAGCCGAACCTGTCAACATTTTACGGCCATCTGCAGAGACTGGTGTCCCCCTGTCCATGTCTGTCCCGTTCCAAGCAGCTTTTCACTCTGCTGGTGATCAAAAGACAAAGAAGGAAACCGAGGGTCGGCTGCAGCAGCATCTGAGAGCAGGGCCCAAGCCATCGGAGCCTGAACCAGGGCCGGGAACGTGGGGAGC